AGTACCACGCTTAGCCGGGGGCTGGATTTGAGCTCATTAGCACCTGCTTGAAATTTTAGGGGAACATTCCCCTAAAATTTCAGTTTTCTAGCATCTCAGAACCCCGAGTTATGAATTTGCGTGGGAAACTTTAAGGGGCCCGTATGCGGGCACTACGCTTAACCGGGGGCTGGATTTGATCCCACTAATAGCCGCTTAGGCGAAGAACATTATCCCAAGTTTTCAGCCCTCTAGCTTCTCAGATCCCCGAGTTACGAAATTACCCGAAAAAAATTTTGGCGGACTCGTACGTTGGTACCATGCTTACCCGGGGTCTGGGTTTGACCCCACTAATACCCGCTTCTGCGGGGAACATTACCCCAAGATTTCAGCCTTCTAGCTTGTCAGATCCTCGAGTTATGAACCGACCCCAAAGAAACTTTGGCGGGGCCGTACGCGGGTACCACGCGGGTTTTGGCGCCAATTTTGTGGATAGGGGCCCTTACGTGTATGTAGATTATGTATGTAGATTATGTTCCCAAAGTTTCAGCCCCGTAGCTTTTGCCGGTCTCGAGATGAAAAATCGGTACAGATGCCCAGCGCACACACAGACACAGACACACACACACAGACAACCTCTCGTTAATATGCGTTTTTTGCATTGCATTGCTGCAAAAAACGCATAAAAATCGTTGGCGACGCGCATCAATTGGACCACTTCGTACGTTTTTGCACTATTTCGTGCCGCAGCAAGGTCGCTTGGAATCCCAGTAACTAGAATTGTGACATATTGGTCCTCGAAGTTCAAAAAGTCAATTTTGCAGCTATGTGGTGTGTCAGCTGCTAATGTCGGCTTCAAATGATCCGATTAATAGAAAGTTGCTGGTGAGCAAAAAAGAATGTAAACAGGAGTATCAATCACTTTTTGTAAGTACTGCTTTTGCTGCAGCGGAAGCGAATAATGCTAATTTTATGTTACAATGCAAATTTACATATTCATGGGAAACAAAGCTCGTATGCATAGTACGATGTGAAGTGTAGGAGCATGAAATGAAGTTGTCCCTGCTACTGAATTGATAGCTGAAATCAGCTCAGTGCATCTGCGAGAAACTGGTATAAATGAGGACTAAATTTACGTACCTTGAGCTATAATGGGACTAGTAACCATCATGTAAAAATTCAGCAGCCCAGCAAATGTTCAGAAGGAAAAGACTGCCCACAGTAAGTAACATTTGATGTATCCAAGCACAAGACTTGGCCAGGGAACACACTGGCAAAATCTCAATATCAAAGCTTGCGTGGTTGCTGAATAGAAATACCCGGACAGACGAACACAAACCTCACATACAAATACACAGACAGGATCGTTGCAATATGCGTTTTTGCTGCCTGTTGCAGCACTTTGGCGTTTCACGGCAAGAACACAGAAGACTGGTTACCTTCGCCAAACTCTGCGACGATAAGTTTTTGGTACACCCGTTCTGACCAAATTTTTCAGTTCGGCGCTCGGCTTCAAAGTACGCGTCGCTGAATTTACAAGGAAACTATCCCATTTCTGTAGCCAGTCAATGTATTGCGGGCTCTGTTCCTGAAATGCAAACAAGCTAATCAGCATTCTATCAGAAACCACAGCCGAAACTGAAAAGATGATTGTGGCCGTAGGAAGTTTGGATTCTAACCAACTCTTGCTGTCCAACAATCTCATCACTTTTACTCTTCAGTTCAGCGGCCACTTCAAACATATCTGAGCGCTGCATCTGACGACGTTGCCTATCGTCGTTCAGATAAAATCCCAACGAATCCATTAGCCGTGCTGCAAAAAAGTACTGATGTAAAAACAAGGCTTAGTTTTCGCGCAGCGGCAAATATGCTAGAAGATAGCGATCGGAATAGCGCAAACACTAAAAAATTTATGAAAATTTCTTTACTTAATATACATGACTAACATCGTCCCGATCTGTAGCAATGAAGCTTCAGTGTTAATGTGATGCATCGCCAAACTATTCCGAGCCGTAAATCTCGAATTTATACCCGCCGTATCTACTTATGCAAGCCTTCTATCTTTTCCCGTTCCCGAGTCATCAATTTTCCCGCCAAAACTTTCAACCCCTCGTACGCGGGGCCCAGACGTGCGTGAGGGGTGGTACCGCGGTTTTGGGGTGGTACTTGGGCGGGGCAAATCGCTATAGAAGCCAATCTTGTAGTAATGTTATCTTCCCCTGGAAATTTCTAACTGAAATGCAATTTCCACTATTGGCAAAATAACGTGCTGTACGTTTCAGTATGCTGCTAAGAACAGCGCAGTGGTGGACAACCTATTGCCATTCTGAAAGTAAAGATCGAAACAGAGAGGGCAGAAGGGGCCACGGAGGTCCAATCAAGAAGTGATCATTCTAAACAGGAACCGAACCATCCAGTTATCCAACAAAGTTCCTACAACGTTGCCTCCTCATAATTTACATAGAATTACTATCCGTCTCATATGTTAGTTTCCTCCTCTTTCATCTGCTCCATCACTTTTATTACTTTCATGCTATTACACTTCCTCTCCTCTTTTTCTTTCACTTATCCTCCTTGCAAATAAGTTACATGCCCTTTCAATACATGGTGAGTAGGAGGCTGTACTGATGATTCCCACTCTTACACGCATGCATTGTTCGGTCTGTGTATACAGCTAAGGGATGAAACACAGAGACTGCATCGTGAAATGTCTTCTTATACATGACACCTAATTCCAATCTTCTTACTCCGCTATTCATTCGATCCAATGCTAAATTGTCAGAAGTTGTCAAAATGCTTGCTTTTAAGCAGTTTTCGAGAGTGCAGGTCGTCATCTCTACAACCAGATAGCTGCGGATGCTTGTAGATATTTCCTTCTCTCAGACACAATGAATACGAGGAGAGTTTTGAACTTTGCCGCTAATACACGTGTAAATGCGTACTTTCAACTTTGTCATTGCTCAGCGTCCGTCTGTTGGTCGTCCAATTGGTCTCATCAATAAGTGCTTCAATAACACCGGGTTCCAAAACTGCAAACTTTCCAGATTATACAACAATGCTTGCCGATTCATTTAAACTAAAAAGAAGGCATTATCATAAATACAAAG